TTTCAAAGTTTGTTATGGTTTCTTTAGCTTCGTTGCAGCAAAGGATCCTTTGCAGCAATGTTTGTAGCAAGTTTGAACCAATGTATGTTGAAGACTTGCAGCAAATGCTTTCAGAGAGATCATATTTCGTTCTTAGATAGACAATCATCTTCTGAAATAATAAATTATATAATGTATAGATGATGTCTGACAACAAGTCATATTTTTGTCAGTGATCTTGATAAGAAAAAAACGTTTAAAAAGTTGAAATCCAGATTAAAATAAATGTGTTACCGATTGCCATTATCTGTCGTCAGTGTTTGCCACAGAAACGAACATCTGTTGTTCACGACAGCCAAACTGTCTTGACCCATCAAAATCAAACACTTGCAGCACGCTTGTTAAACAACAAAGTCCATCCACAGTATAACGTTATGGTGTAGAGAGTCTAAATTAATTATATACAACAGGAAATAAGACCGCAGAGTAGTAGTTTTTATTTTTTAAGCTGAGTTTAACCAATTTTTCTTGAATAACGATTGAAATTTAACTTTATTCTGTTCTTATTTTGTTTCAATAAGAAATAATTGTTTTATATTTAACAGAAAAATAGTTTAAGGTTATATCAACACGGGAAACCACCAAACCAAAGTAAATGAATGTTATAAATAGTCAAAATTATGATATCAATTAGGTCTCTGTCATAGCGATTGATAACTTTGCCGTCTGTTGTCACACTTGCATCGGTTGTCACAGTTGCCGGTAATAGGGTGTGATTTCACATATCGCCCGCTTAGTGCAGGGGTAGGAGCGAAAGTCCCATTCAGTATTACAACCGCTGTGATAGAAGGTGTTCTTATGCCGCGAGTTCAAATCCCGCTGTGGGACACGGAAATTACAAACAGACAATTCAACAAACTGTGTTCATAAACTTTTTAAAAGAAAAGTTTTTACCACTCTCTGAGTGTTCTTTGTTGTACGAATAATCATCGCCAATATCACAAGGGTTAGAGTCGTCATCGCCCATATCAGAACCTTAAAAGAACAAAAAAAATTGAAGTATGTATTTTATCTTGTTAAGTTTGGGTTGTAAAATCATTAATTCCGTTTAAGTAACGTATTTAAAAATTGTCATGTAGTAAAAAGTCCAATATCACCTACCAACCCTTGTCTATTTTTTCTTTATATCATTTCTATGCGAAAATCCTAAGTTCCAAAGGCTAACTATCAACATACGAGAACTATGGATATTTCATTTATTACATCTCAATCTTTTGTGTTCTATGTACAAGATTCGATGTACTAAAAGTTTTATAAAATATGAGATATGAGTTTTTCCCTTTAACACCTTTCTTCTTCTTCTGGATTGTTGAGGAAATATTATCATCTAATTGTTTCCTTATGTTAAAATCATTTGATAACAACTGTTTAATCAATGTTTCCACTTTCATGTTAATTGCATTAACACCTATTATAACCTAAATAGGTAAAGTTTAATTCAGTAAAACAACATTTGGTTTAAATAAACTTTAAAGATTTTTAAATGTAGTTTGGAATTAAGGATAGAAATAGTAACATCTTTTTGTACATTATACCCAAGTTTACCTCTCTTTTCTCTTCCTCTTTTTTTCTTTTGTCTGGGTTTTGGATCATCATCTATGAAAATAGACGTCAGGCAATATATGTCTTACATTCAAGAATATAAAATCCTGAATGAAAATTTAACATATACTTGGTTCGTGTATTAAAATCATTACAGAATTTAATGATATTATCAATAAAAAACAAGAGGCCCATGGGCCACATCGCTCACCTGAGTAACTTGGGTGATGCAGTTATTTACCAGATTCCCCCTCTTGCTATACTTATCATGCCCCTCTACACCCTTCCCTTTTATGATTTTAAAACTTTAGAATCTACACTACCCAAGGATGCTTCCATATGAGTTTCAGCTTTCCTGAGGCCCAGTGATTCTTGAGAAGAAGATTTTTAAAGATTTGTTCTATATATATTTCTATGTAAAACTTGGATTCCCTTTTGTGGTCCCGCCCTATCCCCGGGGGCCATGATTTTAACAATTTAATATTTACACTACCCAAGGATGCTTCCACATAAGTTTCAGCTTGACTGGCCCAGTTTCTCTTGAGAAGAAGATTTTTAAAGATTTGTTCTATATATTTCTATATAAAAATTGGATTCCATATTGTGGCCCTGCACTACCCCCGGGGGTCATGATTTTAACAATTTAATATCTACACTATCCAAGGATGCTTCAACATTAGTTTCAGCTTTCCTGGCCCAGTGTTTCTTGAAAAGAAGATTTTTAGTGACCCCACCCTTTTTTGTCTTTCCTTGATTATCTCCCCTTGTAAGGGGACATGGCCCTTCATTTTTACAATTTAAACTCCCTTTCACCCAAGGATACTTTGTACTAAGTTTGGTTAAAATTGGACCATTGGTTCTTGAGAAGAAGTCAAAAATGTGAAAAGTTTACAGACGGACGGACAAACAGCTAGACGGACGACGGACAAAATGTGATCAGCAAAGCTCACTTGAGCCTTCGGCTCAGGTGAGCTAAAAAACCAGTAACTTATTCAGGATTAAAAAAACATGGTACTATATCCTAGTTATACCCGCACTTTCTAAAGAAAGTTCGGGTATATTGTTGTTACTCATGTCCGTCCGTCCGCCCGTCCGTCCGTCCGTCCGTCCGTCTGTCACACTTTTCTTCCCTGAACTCCTCTTACATTTTACACAGTAGCCTAATCATCTTTGGGGAGATGGTTTGTGGTGTCATGTAGATGTGCAGTAAGGTTTCGGAATTTTGATTTTGCCCCGGGGGGTCAAATGGGGGTCGAAAAATGACGTTTTTTATGCAAAAAGCCCCGTCTTCCCTGAACTCCTCTTACATTTTACACAGTAGCCTAATCATTTTTGGGGAGATGGTTGGTGGTGTCATGTAGATGTGCAGTAAGGTTTCGGAATTTTGATTTTGCCCCGGGGGGTCAAATGGGGGTCGAAAAATGACGTTTTTAATGCAAAAAGCCCGTCTTCCCTGAACTCCTCTTACATTTTACACAGTAGCCTAATCATCTTTGGGGAGATGGTTGGTGGTGTCATGTAGATGTGCAGTAAGGTTTCGGAATTTTGATTTTGCCCCATGGGGTCAAATGGGGGTCGAAAAATGACGTTTTTTATGCAAAAATCCCCGTCTTCCCTGAACTCCTCTTACAGTTTACACAGTAGCCTAATCATCTTTTGAGAGATGGTTGGTTGTGTCATGTAGATGTGCAGTAAGGTTTCTGAATTTTGATTTTGCTCCGGGGGGTCAAATGGGGGTCGAAAAATGACGTTTTTTATGCAAAAATCCTGGTCTTCCCTGAACTCCTCTTACATTTTACACAGTAGCCTAATCATCTTTGGAGAGATGGTTGGTGGTGTCATGTAGATGTGCAGTAAGGTTTCAGAATTTTGATTTTGCCCCGGGGGGTCAAATGGGGGTCGAAAAATGACGTTCTTTATGCAAAAATCCCGGTCTTCCCTGAACTCCTCTTACATTTTACACAGCAGCCTAATCATCTTTGGGGAGATGGTTGGTGGTGTCATGTAGATGTGCAGTAAGGTTACGGAGTTTTGATTTTGCCCCAGGGGGTCAAATGGGGGTCGAAAAATGACGTTTTTTATGCAAAAAGCCCCGTCTTCCCTGAACTCCTCTTACATTTTACAGAGTAGCCTAATCATCTTTGGGGAGATGGTTTGTGGTGTCATGTAGATGTGCAGTAAGGTTTCGGAATTTTGATTTTGCCCCGGGGGGTCAAATGGGGGTCGAAAAATGACGTTTTTTATGCAAAAAGCCCCGTCTTCCCTGAACTCCTCCTACATTTTACACAGTAGCCTAATCATCTTTGGGGAGATGGTTTGTGGTGTCATGTAGATGTGCAGTAAGGTTTCGGAATTTTGATTTGCCCCAGGGGGTCAAATGGGGGTCGAAAAAATGACGTTTTTTATGCAAAAAGCCCCGTCTTCCCTGAACTCCTCTTACATTTTACACAGTAGCCTAATCATCTTTGGGGAGATGGTTCGTGGTGTCATGTAGATGTGCAATGAGGTTTCGGAATGTTATTTTGCCCCAGGGGATCAAATGGGGGTCGAAAAATGACGTTTTTTTGCAAAAAGCCCCGTCTTCCCTGAACTCCCCTTACATTTTACACAGTAGTCTAATCATCTTTGAGGAGATGGTTGGTGGTGTCATGTAGATGTGCAGTAAGGTTTTGGAATGTTTAATGTCTAATTGTGGCCTGACCTAGCCTTTGAGGTTATGATTTGAAAAACTAGAAATATGTCTATAGGACATGAATGTCCCACTGGATGTATATTACTCATGCTACAGGAAAATTTGTATTAGCGTATTAAGTTTGTTGAAAATATCTTGAACAGTTTCTTTAGAATTGAAACTAAAATCTAAATAAATTTGATATAGATTATAAATCCTCACCAAATTATGTATTATAAGTGCATGCTAAACATAAATATTACACAACTTGAATGGTTTCTTTAAAATAAAGCTAAACAGTAATTTAAGGAGGCTAGGGGGTCAACAAATTATTTTTTTATTAACCACCGGTTATAACTTAAATTTGGGGATATGATATCTTAAGCCATCAACTATCATTTGGCAAAAAAAAAAATTCATAAATTTTTGTTTTAAAATTTGATCATTTTATCATTTTTATTATATCTTTATATGGAGCTCTTCTTCTAAAGGAGATCAAAATAGTCTAAAAATGGCTGCAACCACCCAGCCTCTTTAAAGAAAAGTTACGTGAAGGTCAAAGGAAAAGTCAAAGTCAAAAAATATTGCTGCAGTTGGATATTTACATCAGTATGCATCAACATATGAACTTTGATAAAAATATCTAGAAAGTTTCTTTGAGCCCAATGGAAAGACAGATGGAAGGGTGGAGGACGGACATGACAAAAACTATACATGTATTCCTAATCATGGTGTGGCATAAAAAACTTGAATCTACATTATATGAGGATGTTTCCATCTATCAAGATTATACATTAGCAAATTCAAAGAATTGTGGTCCTCTGCTTTCTGTGTTTTAGTGAATGGGATGCCATAATTTATGGCATATTATGTCATTGAATATGCACCCATATCATATATCAATTTTTGAAAATTAGGTCAAAGGGGTAAAATCATAGCATGTTCTGAAACATTTTGTTGCAGGTAATGTACATGTCAAATATAAAAGTCATATCTCTTTTGAATCAAAATTTATATATACAATATAATATTTTTGAAAAGTAGGTTAAACTTCTAGGTCAAGGTCACAGAGTCAAAAGTAATGTTATATTTAGAAGTCTTTTCACATGTAATAAACATGTATAATTTGAATGCCCTTTCTTTTCTCTTTCAAATTGATCAATTTAAAATGTTATTTTTTGGAAAGTAGGTAAAACTTTAAGGTCAAGGTCTCACTTGGGTTAAAAAATCATAGTATATTTAGAAAGTTTTGTGGTAATGTACATGTGAAATAGGAAAGCAGTATCTCTTATTATTCAAAAGTTATTACCAAGGTTAAATTTATTGTGACAGATGCACATACTAGCTGTCAATAAAATGGACAAACTGACAGACAAATGAGATTTAACGTCCCCTCCCTTTCCCCAAAACGGGGGACAATAATGCCCTTGCTGTTCTTGAGAAGAAAATTTATGATGGAAAAAATCCCCTGCATATTTCTTAACGCAAATCAATATTGTGTTTTTATGTCATTTTGTTTGTTATTAAACATCCCTCTCAGGAATTTTTCACTCATATGGAGACACCACCACTTGAAAAATAATGAGGACAAGTTAGATTTGAGGTCAACATTCATTTTAGGAGTTTTCAACCATTAAGACATAAAGAAATATTAACTCGATCCTTCCCCTCACCCCTTCCCAGACCCCTGTTTGTTTATGTATGCAAACTACTACTTGTATTACATTAAAAAAAAAATTATACAAATAGTTTAATGTGGTCCATCTCTGAATGATTTTCATTCCTATTCTAGGCCGCCGCCAGAAGATAAGTTGACACAAATTCATGAATAAAATGTCAAGTAATCTTATCATTGATGCACTTTTATTTAATTTAATGCAGTCATATTGTGAACATTTCCAGCTCATTAGGAGTGGGAATGACCTCCAGGGGTTCATAACCTTTATACCATTTAATTTACATAACATAATAACACAAGAAACAAAATTATGGAGAGTCAAATGGAAAAACTTTCCAACTGTTTAGGAGTCACATGATCATTTGTCATTACAGGGACAGGGAGTGGATTGGCTGATCGCCCTCTCAACCTCCCCCCCCCCCCTGGAATTTGCAGGACTATAATATATACTGGAGGAAATAAAAATGACTTTGTATGCCCTAAGTGTCCCTCCACCTTAGAAAACAGACCCAAACATAACTTCTTTTTTTTTTTAGCTTCTCAGGAAATTCTGGTCTGGAAACCCCCCTCCCTCCCAGTCCCAGAAAAAAAATTCTGGATCTTGTAACTGAATGTAACGTTGATAACGGGGGATAACTCTTCAGAATGTCAAAGCATCGGATGACCTTTGATCCTTTAAACTTGAACCTAGAACCGTTTGCATTT